TCTGGGTCATGAAGATCTTTTTTGTACAGTTCTTCTGTGTATTCTTGCCACCTCCTGTTAATATCTTCTGCTTCTGTTAGGTCCATACCATTTCTGTCCTTTATTGAGCCCATTTTTGCATGAAATGTTCCCTTGGTATCTCTAATTTTCTTGAAGAGATCTCTAGTCTTTCCCATTCTGTTGTTTTCCTCTATTTCTTTGCATTGATTGTTGAGGAAGGCTTTCTTATCTCTCCTGGCTATTCTTTGGAACTCTGCATTCAAATGGGAATCTTTCCTTTCTCCTTTGCTTTTCACTTCACATACAAAGTAAATAAATATTAATAAGCCCAATAGAAAAAAGCATAAACATATGAACTTACAGAAATGATAGGAATTCAAAAAACTGTTAACAAACATATAAAAATGTCAGCCTCATCATTTATTTTTTAAAACACCTAAAAATATCTAGATTTAATACAATCCCTACCAAAATCTCAGATGGCTTCTTTGTAGAAACTGACAAGCTGATTCTAAAAATTCACATGCACTCAGAATAGGCAAAACAATCTTGAAAAAGAAAAAGCTGGAGGACTTACACTTGACAATTTCAAAATCTACTACAAAGCTACAGTAATCGAGACTGTATGGTACTGGCCTCAGAATAAACATAAAAATCAATTAAACAGAACTGAAGGTCCAGATCCAAACCTTCACTTTTGTGGCCAATTGATTTGGGGAGGGCGGGGGTGAGGGGGAGGGTGTGGTCAACTGTTTTTTTTTTTTTTTTTTTAAGGTTAAAAAAAAAATTTTTTTTTTTTTTAAAGAGTTCTAAGGTAATTAAATTGGGAAAAGAATTGCTTTATCAACAAATTATGCCAGACAACAAGATATCTATAAACTAAAGAATGAAGTTAGGTCCATACTTTATGCCATATATAAAAATCAGTTCAAACTGATCAAAGATCTAAATGTAAGAGCTGAAACTATAAAACTGTAGAAAACAAGCCACAAATTTTATGATCTTAGATTAGGCAACGGTTTCTTAAGATACGAAAACAAGAGAAAAAAATTAGATAAATTGGACATTATCAACATTCAAAATTTTTGTAGTCTCAAGGACACATTAAGAAAGTAAAAAGAACCATAGAATGCGAGAGAAGTTTTACAAATTCTATATCTGATAAAGGTTCAGTATCCAAAATATATGTAAAATATTCTTACAACTCAATAATAAAA